AGACAGAGGGGGAGATAAGGGGAGAAGAGACAGAAGGACAGGGAAGCAGCTATTGGAGTCTGGGCCTCAGTGTCCCCTTCCCCTGCTTGGGACCCTGGCATCTCAAAGCCATGGTGAGCCAGCAGGCCCACAAGAGTGTGGTGCCCAGGGCAAGAGCGACTGTGACCCAGCTGGCTGCTGCCTTCCCACTGTTCTCCCAGAGTAGCGGCTGCCTGGAACCCAGAACAGAGGGGACAGTCTCTGGGTTCACATGACACTCTGGGCATGGAGGTCTCACTGTCTTGCTTCTGTCTGCAGGAGATCAAGGACAGAAGGGGATGCGAGGAGAGAAAGGTGAGCCATCCGTGGTCCCCAGTGCCTGTGTGGGCTTTGTGCAGGGGAAGCCTCAGACCCAAGTTCCCTGCCTCTCCAGGTTGGGGGGAGGGTGGAAGAGCCCCGACTCACCTTGTCCTCAGAGTCTGTGGGGTCTGCCAGCTGCCACCCCAAGTGATGGGTAAAATCACAGGGTCGCATACTGTGTTTCCTCAAAAATAAGACCTACCCCCAAAATAAGCCCTAGCAGGATTTCTATGCATTTGTTACATATAAGCCCTACCCTGATAATAATACCTAGAGATGGGCGTGGCTATGCAGCGTATCTGCATAGCCACACCATGCGTTTCGGGGCGGAGTGTTAAGGAAGACTGGAATATCTTTTATCTTCCACAGCTCCTTTCTCCGTTCGCACTTGTGCGGGTGCGTGTACCACAGTCGCAGGCATCCTATTGCACACGTGCAAACGGTGCAGGGGTCCTCAAACTTTTTAAACAGGGGGCCAATTCACTGTCCCTCAGGCTGTCGGAGGGCTGGACTGCGGGCCCTGGGACGAGTCGGCTGCTAAGCAGGACAGGCAGTGGCAGCAAAAATACCTGGCAGGCCAGATAAATGTCCTAGGCAGGCCGCATGTGGCCCTCAGGCCGTAGTTTGAGGACGCCTGGATTAGGAGAAAGGTGTTCATGCATCACTAGTGCCAGCCCCACCAACAAGGATGGGCCTCCTGTCAGGTTCCCAAAGAAGATGATTTAACTGTATTTGAATAAGTGTAGATTGTTGTATTATACTTAATAAAAATAAGACATCCCAGGAGGCGCCTGTGGCTCAAAGAAGTAGGGCGCCAGCCCCATATGCCGGAGATGGCAGGTTCAAACCCAGCCCCAGCCAAAAACTGCAAAAAAAAA